AAAGTAGAAAAAGAAAATCAACATAGCAAAAAAAAATTAACAAAATGAAAATGAGAATGAAAATGAAAGAAAAGGAAGCAAGAGAGATGGAAAGATACGCGTACGTATTCAACCCCGTCATCGTCGCTGCACTGCAGCCGGAAAAGAACGCATCAATGCCGGATATATTCTTGGCAGGATATATGGCGATCACCGCCAGCACGTTCAGGAGCAAGACGTAGGCATCTGTTCGCAACCAAAAGTAAAGAGTGAGAAACTGGCCCTTCCGGTCTCAGGATAGGTAGGTATGATTTGGAAAGGCAAATATAGCTACAATGGAGTCCTATAAAATTCCACCGTGGGAGCCGCATTTGAGACGAGAAGAGGTGCTATTGGGGTGTTGTAGCGGGTACGTCTCTTCCCCGCACGATATTGCCACTGGGAAGATAGCTTGTTCGATGCTGGTACCTTGTTGTTGCAAATAGGAGGGGAGTAATAGATTGCACCAGCGTAACTGCGCCAAGCAAGCAGATATACATGAGGATTAACTGAAAGATATATCTTCCCAGCTGTGGATATATTTTATGTGGACTGCGGAGAAAGATAGACGAAATGATAAAAGCGAAAAAAGAAAGGAAACAAGGTACTCGAGAATTCACCAGGATGGTCAGTTAACGGCGTCATGAGGGCCTACAGGGCAAGTTATGGATGGATGGGCTGATTGATCCGTATGGAGCGCTGCGGGGGTGTAGCGGGGGCTGGCATCTCCGCAGACCAAAGACTAGCGGAGTCTAGCAGACAGCGGGCAGCGTATTTGGCACCGGCACCAGCACTAGCAGTGCAACCCGGCTCGCATTGTCGGAATAATTAGCCCAGCGTATCTCTCCAGGATTGGTGAGAATCAGTCCAAGAGACCGGTAATAACGATAAGAGGATACGATGGGATAAATAGGGGGAGGCTGGGATAGAATAAGTAAGATTGGACCCCAGCCAAGCACTAATGATCCCAACTCCTCTCCACCACAGATCTTTACAGACAGGTGCCATCTGCCCGAGCTGAATCCCATTGGTATTAGCAAGGTAATGAGAATAGCCACAGTGCCACAGTGATAGGGAATTCGATAAAGTTGCCCTGTGGGCTTCCAGAGAATGGACCGAGTTTGATCTGGGCCGCCATTCGCACGATGAATATAAGCTCCGACGCCTATCGGATTCGAATTCCTAAACCAAAGAAAAATCGCATCAAAAGAGCTCTAAATCAAATGCGGTTCCCGTCCGGTTGTCGTTGTCTAACGAAAGAACTGTCGCCCGCCAGAAGAGGCGTGATGATGATAAATAGCAGCAGCCATTTAAAGTCATCACACCCTAACTATATAGGTATATAAAAGAGCCATTTTTGATGCTGCGGATGAACAACCGCAGCGTAAGAAGACAGTTACTTGACTAACTATCAGACTGAGGAAAACTGATCTCAGAATTGATCATCATTTCCCTGGGTAACTAGTTAATTGACGGGAGGTTCAACTGCCCACTTGAAGGAATCCACACAACGATAGTTTCCGCTCAGCTCAGGGCTTTAACGACCGGGGACCAGCCTCCGTCCCATGGATAGGGACTGGGCTTAACTAAGTCAACTAACCCACGCCGCCTGGTAGTTAAACCGGCCCACGCCATCCTCACAGGTTCACCGCCCAGGTAAGTTGCCAACATCCATTCGACCCAATGACCCCAAGCACAATCAATCATTCAAGCATTTACAAATCCAACCACTCTGCCACGCCATATCAGCCACGTTTGCCTTTCTTAGGTCCCCATGGCAGAATCACGGACTCAATCCAGAAGCTTACCTACATTACTTCCATACATCCCAGCTACAGATCGTGCAATTTACGGTTGCATCCGCCGCTAAATTCCGCTAATTCGGCTAATTCGGACTCCCCTGTTGCCCATCCTGCTATTGCGTTTCCTTTCTTCTCTTCTGTTTTCTTTTCTTTTCTTTCTTTCTTTCTTTCCTTTTTTCCTTTTTGGGAAACCCAATGCAGCGAGATGCAGCACACGAATCATGATCCGTGAAGGAAAATATAAAATTCTGCACCTGGGATTGAATGAGAAAACGACAAAATAGGGACCATGTGCGCTCGCAATTGGATGGAGCGTGTCGTATCTCAGGAGATCTCGGGGAGGAAGAAATAGTTCGAGCTAAATGTGAAAAATTTTCTTAAGCATGGAAGTATACCTATATGAAACATAATTCCAACCCCCGTTTTGAACAGAAGTTGAGAGAGTCAAACTTTTTCATTTCCGCGAAGTTTGGATCTTAATTGTAAAGACTGTGCTTTAATTTTGTTTTTCCCTTTTTAAAGACTCAATGAACCATCATCAATTAATTTGATATAGACAAGCACAAGGGGTAGAGTTAGCAATTTTGCAGAAATGTAATAGCTAAGAGAAAGCAAAGAGTACCATGGGGGACAGTCAACAGATCAAGCAAAGCAGCTCGCTAGAAGGAATGACTTGGGGAGGGGAAGTGGTAACTTCGAAATAACGGGACACAACAAAAGCAAAAGGGGTGTTTGAGAAACTACACGTCGGGCACTCTTCAATTTTATAAACCCAGCAATAGAAAACCGGATGTGACGAACAAAGAGGGAACGACGAAGCGACGCCATCCATCGAGTGGTTAGCCGAGGACGAACAGACTGATAAACGAGGTACAAGAACTAAGTATTTTTTTTTTTTTTTTTTTTTGGGGGGGGGGGGGGGGGGGGGGGGGGTTTAAAGAGGGGTTTATTTTGGGAAAAAAAAAAAAAAGTTTTTTTTCCAAAAAAAAAAGGGAAGGGGAAAAAGCCCCCGTTTTTAAAACCCAAGCCCCCGCCGTTGCCCCGGGAAAAAATTTTTCCGGAAAGAAAAAAAAGGGGAAGGTGGCCCAGGGGACTTTTCCCCCG